AAAATGAAATAAAAATTTTCGCACATTTCAAACTGAACCAAATTTCAGTTTTTAATTATTTTTTTTATGATTGTTATTGACATAGCCGCAAAAATCAGTAAATTACAATATAATAGTCCATAAATTAGTGCTAAATTAATAATTAAATAAAATTAAATTAAATAAAATTTAAAACAAACCCATAAAATTTATTATTTCGAGCCAGAAAATCAAAAAAAAACAAGAAAAAAGGTCACAATACACTTCACAAATAAGAAAGATTTCATAAAAGAACTTGATTTTAAACGTTCAGTTTGTATGGCAGCTGTATGCTACAGTGGTCCAAACTGAACAAAATATTCGCAAGTTGTAACGGTGCCGTGAAAAATTATGTATGCCAAGTTTTATGTAGATACATATATTGTCAAATAAAAAACTTTTACATACAAGAGTTGATTTCGATCATTCAGTTTTTATGACAGCTATATGGTGGTCCGATATCGGCGGTTCTGACAAATGAGCAGCTTTTTGTGGAGAAAAAGACGTGCGCCAAATTTCAAATCAATATCTTGAAAACTGAGGTACTAGTTCGCATATATACAGACGAAACGATAGACAGTCAGACATGACTAAATCAGCTGAATGTAACAGCCAGAAGGACCTCGGATTTTTCCATCTGAGTGTTACAAACGTCGTTGCGAATAGGGAATATTCAGTGTTCTGGGTATAAACAAAATGTTATTTGCATAAAAAAAAGTTTAACAGTCTGACAAACCTTTCAAAAACATACTTGTTTAGTTTGAAACCCAAGTTGTAAGATATCATTTAGTTAATAACTTTATTTGGATAAATAAATTAAACAGGTGAAAACCATTCACAAAAACGTATTCAACTCAAATTATATTGCCTCCCGATGGTAAGCCTTCTTTATGCTCTATATTATATACAAATATGTAATTTTATATACAAATATATAATATATTACCTATAATCATATTATTTTTATCATTATATTATTTCTTAAATAGACACACTGTACATATATTAGACCTTGCCTTCCGACTAACTAAATGCCGCTATAAAATCGTACGCTTTCTCATTTAGAATCTCCATACACGGTTGGACCGGCAGGAGCACCTCCTGTTCGAATGCAGCCATCAAGGATGCCTACTTAGCGGCGGGCAATTTCAATGTAATAATGCTTGATTGGAGTGCCATATCGATGGACATTAGCTATGGACGCATTAGCCGTCAATTGTCAGAGATCGCAAAAAATTTGCTAGAATTCACACATTTCTTGCATCGAGTAAGTGGTATCCCCTACGAAACCATTTATTTGGTGGGTCATAGCGCCGGCGCGCATATAGCTGGCCTAGCGGGCAAACAATTGCGACCGCAACGTTACGGTGTCATCTATGCGCTCGACCCGGCCGGTCTCGTGCAGTTGCCGCTCGGCGAAGACAAACGTTTGGCACCGAACGATGCCATCTACACCGAATCCATACACACGGACATCACGCTGCTGGGCAATCCGAGCACGAAACTTACACAAGCAGCATTCTTTGTCAATTGGGGTCTAGGCCAGCCACACTGTCCGAATGCGACGGCAGCTGAATTTGATTTCGCATGCGATCATTTTGCGGCCTTGTATTACTTTGCGGAATCGTTGCGACAGCCACGCGCCTTTGGTGCCACACGGTGCAGACGATGTTGCAGTGGTAGTAGCAGTCGTTTCAGCCATAGTCGTATTCTGCTGGACGAATGGGATTGTGGCTGCACAAATGTTGCCATGACAGGTGAATGCCCGATGACTGCGTTTATGGGAGGTGAACCGGCTGTGCCAAAAAACGGCACCTTCTATCTAAGCACACGTTCTAAGCCGCAGCCATTTGGTTACGGCGAAACGGTGCGCATTAAACGCGCTGGGCCGGCCAAATTCTTGCACAGCAGCTTTTTGAGTAATAAAATCATCGACAATATGTTGTCCAAATGGCAACACACACTAACGGCGTACAATTAATGAGCAAAGTCAGTGGCATGCAATAGATTGATAGTGATATATATGCAACGTGAGTTTGTGTGGTAGCGTGAAGTTGTCAGTTAGTCGAGTTAACGCGCCACAGCCAGAAATATGAGTGGTTTGGTGGCAAAGAAATCATATGTACATATACATGTATTAGGTTATTTACAAGAAGAAATACAATTAACGGTGAAAAAAATTACTATTGAGAATGGCACTTAATATGCCGAATTAAATTGTTTGTTTATAAATGATAACAGATTTTAATTGCTACCACTTAAAATGGTATAATTATGTAAGTTGCAATTCCACATAATTGAGGTTATGCACGAGTACATATATGTATATATATTTTTATCAATTTTCTGTAACATGAGTTCAGGAATGAACCTTGAGTATAAAAACACTTTAAAAACGAAGTAAATGGCATATATGTACATAGATGTTGTAAATATGTAAAAAAAAATATATTGCAAAACAGTATATGTAATTAATTTAACCTTATAGCTTTTAAGGTAATATAGATGCTAATATTGTTTATAGGTTAATATAAACAATAAATTTAAATGATATAATAAAAAAAATTTAACAATTGTTTCTTGTATTAGTTCACATTGGGTCCAAACAGTCCCTCTTACTAGCTACTCAATGACAAGCATCTTGTGAACTTTTTGCAATTGTTCGGAAAATTATAATGAGTGAGAATTGTATATTTTTTTCAACAACTTTAAAGAAATGCGACAGTGGAGAAAAATTTTACAAAGTATACATCCACAAACACTAGTGACGAAATTATTATATACCCTATTATTAGACAATTAAATGTGCGTCCATTCCAGTTACATACATCCATGGGACGGTCTCATCTTCGGCCATGAAGCTTCATCTCGACTGCAAACTTTTTTGTGGAATGATTTATGATTCCACAATTAAATCAAGAATACCAAAAACTGTAACGGGTTGCAATAACAAGTGCGAAACATTTGATTATACCAACCTGGTTAGTTAGTATGTTCTCAAAAACGCTATTTTATGAACAAGTGTTGAGTGATCTTAATTAGGTCTTTGAGAAACTCTTGCTTAGTTTGAAATGTTTAATTTACTTAGTTAAACTCAAAACACCAAAATGGCCATTGAACTGGAGTTTACGGTGCAACCTGTGTTTATAATAAGCGATTTTGATTATTGCGTGTGTTTCTTAGTAGTTTTACGAAATATACTCAACAATTTCTTTTTAAAAAATATGCAAAATATTTGTTAACTATCAGAAAAATGTGTTTTAGCGAAGCGTTAAATAACGTCAACATAAAAAGTAAAAAAATGTAAAAAGAATTTGTGCGTAAAAGCTTATTTATAACTATTTTAAAAATTTAGAATAATATAAAAAAATTTATTTAACAATTTTCAGATTTTACGATATATAAAGCATTCAAATTCATTTTCTACTCATGTAAATATTTTTAAATTTCCATATGTAACATATGTATATATCTAAACAAACCTCTAAAAAATGGTAAACGAAAACTTAGACAATTTCTATTTTTATTATGAGAACAACATGTATCCGAATTTAAAGTTGTTGATTACACCCAGTANGTAATACTATGCACATGTCGAACATATACTATGCGCCTAAAAGCATGCTAAATTCATGTTACATAATTCATATTACATGAGTTTTTGAATTTTAGAAATTTAAATTCAGTTTTACGAAAGAATAATATAAATAAACGTATACAAACTTATGTGAAGACCTGAGCACATAGTTAAGAAGGAAAAATAAATAAGCCTGATATAGATAGATGGAAAAATGTCAATCAAAAAGTGAAAATAGCATTCGCACTTAATACAAATTAAACTACTGACATGGAATTATAAATATAGTTGGTTGAGGAATGCTATTCCAACGAAACTGCTTATACAATATTGCAAACAATGCTTTCCACCAACTCTTTCCTCCTCTAACTCGATGAAAACGTTAAAATTTAGCACTTACTTGACTAGGTCCGATACGGTATGTAGCTGTATCCACTTCATTAGCGGCTAAAATTTGTTCGACCGTTATGTCCTTGGCAGTGGCAGCATCAATAGCAGCCAGTAAACCAAAACGACGCACAAACTCGACCAAAGGAACTGATTCTGGGAAGCCCAAACGATGTAAACGTGCCGCCTCGAGCACTTGCGAGCCGCGCAACTGCAGCAAAGCAAATAAATTTAAGCAAAAGTAAAACAAATAACGAACATACGTGCACACTCACCTGACTACGTAGCAAAGGAATATTCACCATGTCCTCGCAGCTCGATTGCAATGCAGCGGCGTTTGGCGAACCGCTCGCCGAGTAGCTGCTATGTTGACCGGCATTGTGCTGCAACATATAACAGTGTACGAAATGGGTGCCTGTGCGGCGCAGGGTATCAATGATGCCATCGACAGTGAATTTCACTTGCAACATTATGGAATTACGTTTTACACCAGCAGAGGTGAACGAACGTCGTATGCTCGAGACGCGACGTAGCGATTGTGTGCCTTCGAGGCCGGCAATAGAACCGCAAAAAACAATGCCACCCGCGCCACGTGTTAGCGAACCAATATACAGACGACTTATCTCATCACGTGAGCTATCTTGCAGCAGTGTTACAGCATTACGTATGGCAGGGTGTTCACGGCTATGCCGCACCCAACCGTCCACTGTGTACAACACCGGATTAGTGCCCTGCAGATGTTGCAATACAAACTGTTTGGGACCGGCGCATTTGCGCAACAAAGTTTGATGCTCACGATCGCCATAATGCGTAAAGAGGCGCTCCAGGAATGTATCATCATTGCAGTTGGGGTACATAGACTCCTCATCAAGCAGCCAGAGCAGACCGCGACGATCATGCTCGCGCAAATCACGTTGCGACGAACGCACAACATGATTTTGTGGCGACTTGTCGATGAGCGATACTAGCGGACCGGGATTTGTTTCCGACATGCCCTCCGTATCGATCTCGACTAGCTCCTGCGCATAGCGGTCACGCGGCGCCACCAACGTGGTATGATGAAAGAGCAACTGTAAGCGCTCTTGTAGGTAATTGTGACGTAAATCGGAGAGGGTGGCACCCGTTTGCAGACCACAGCTGGCGGGATTCTGAAAGCCCGGCGTGTCTACGAGCATAATGGAAGCGATAGTATGCGCCGAAGTGCAGATTGCTTTATTTATTAGCGCCACCACGGCGGCCAATGCCTCGGAATAGAGACCGACGGCGAGCGCTTCCAGTGATTCCCAAGCCTGCTCACTACTATCGTTAGGCGATTTCGAAGGGCTTGTGCCACCACCACCACCACCACCAGACGCTGTATTAAAAGCGGCAGCTGTTAAATCCTCCATTGAAACACCGAGTAGGCTAGCAGCTCTACGCGCGGCTGATGGATTTGCAAACTGTACGCGCGCAGCTGGCCCAGCATTGACTATAAATGTCCAGGTGTTATATCAATTACTTAAAATGTAGAACTTTTATTAAAATCAACACTTACGCCTTGTGACACCCGCCAATCCTAGATGATAAATAGCCGCTAATATGCTCCAAACGCCACGCACAGCTTTCGCTTCGATATTTAAAGCTTCCAACGCTTGCGTCGTGCGCATGAACTCAGCGGCTGCGCGATGACGCTCCTCCAATTTCTGCGAGAGCGAAACGAAAGGATGATTGTCCGCTGCTGAAATGTTATCCAGATGCAGCTCCTTCTGCAGCAATCCTTCGGCGCCAGCGAGCAAACGCCCCATTATATGGAAGCTATGATCGTTAGGTTGACGTCGCCCAGCGCGTTGTCGCTCAGGCAGCAGCACCTTTACGGGTAGAAGCGAATTCGGTTATAATGGAGGTTCAATTATTTATTTACAAATATTTCTTACTTGCACCGAAGCGGAGGCGATTTGTCCACTTTGATCGAAGTCTAAACTCAACAGCTGTGCAAAACGCGTTGCATTCGCATTGAGGCAGGTTTTTGTATTGCCAAAAGCTTCCAATATGATATTGATAGAGTTGACTTTCTCAGCATTGAGAAAGTTATTATAGGAGCCTAAAAAAAGATATTCATATTAATATAAATAAAGTAAATTTTCATTGATTTTAGCAAAATTTCCGTTACTGTTGCTTCAAATCTGCGAAAAGTAATCTATTTAAACACACATACCTACATATAATATAAAGAAAAATCAGCTTTCGTCATAAATGAATTTATCAAATAAAAAATGTTTTTCAAGTTATTTCAAACGGGAAATACTTATTTTTCAGTGTAAAGGTCGAGTTCGTTGTAGTAGGAGTTCAAAAAGCTATGTTACAGTATTCAGAACACAAACATGATATAACTACGCAGATCTGCAGAATTTTACGCATTTCGGTTTCGACTGATATGATATCGTTCACGAACAAGTAGAGGACATGATGTCTGATCTAAGTTGTACAAGCTATTGGATAGACCCAGTGAAGTTACATTGTTGAAAGAATATATCGCTTTTCAATTCTGTTCGATTCCTTTTTAATAAACTTTTGCTCGGATAAATCGATAATTCTTTGGATTTATGGCTAAAATACAGTACTACATAGCAACCTCAAACTGAAACTCACTTTTTAAGAGTTTTTATCTCGAACATACGATACTAGATGCAAGATAAAAACAGGTAGTATGACAATCCTATACCAAATATTATTGGAAAACTAGCCTGTAGTAGCAAACATAAATAATTTTTTTTTGAAAAAAAATATATATACATATATATATATATAATTTAAAATGGCGTTTAAAACAAGTTAAGGGATAAAATTGTGGTAAACTCAGTGTTTGTGAGTACTCTTTAATAATACTTCATACCAAAACGGGTAATAAACTCGAGTTTAACATACTTTAGTAACAAACAGAAAAAATTTTTTTTATATAGTAATAAATTGAAGTATTATTTATTACAAAATAAAACAAGAAAAAACGTTAACTTCGGTTGCGCCGAAGCTATAATACCGAAGCCTTGAGGCGGAAGGCTAAACACATATTGTTCCAATATTTTCATACATAATAAAGACTTAGAATGGTATTTTTGCAAAAAACAAAGTTAGTGTATGTATGTCAAATGCTGAAATATATATAACTACTTTGGATTTGGGTAAGAACTTCGAGTTCAATTTCAGTTTCATTAAAAAAAATAATTAGAATGCCATTTTTGAACCTATAATTCAATTTCCTATTGTTATTTTTGGCAATTATTTTTCCAAATACTTTTTTATACCCTGAACAGGGTATATTAATTTTGCCACGAAGTTTGTAACACCCAGAAGGAAACGTCGGAGACCATATAAAGTATATATATAAATAATCACCGTGACAAGCTGAGTTGATTTAGCCATGTCCGTCTGTCTGTCCGTCCGTCTCGTCCGTCGTCCGTCCTTGTCTTCTGTATATACGCGAACTAGTCCCTCAGTTTTTGAGATATCGATCTGAAATTTTGCACCTGTACTTTTCTCACAAAGAAGCTGCTCATTTGTCGGAACCGCCGATATCGGATCACTATAGCATATAGCTGCCATACAAACTGAACAATCGGAATCAAGTGCTTGTATGAAAACTCTTTCATTTGACGAGGTATCTTCA